TTAAACCAAATAAACCCGCGGGTATCACTTTAGGAGGGGATTCTTAAAATAGCAGCCAGGAATGCACGGGTTCTTTTGGACAACTCAGATTCCATGCCTGTCCCTGACTTCAGTAAAACTATGCACTGAAAGTCTCTACTTTATCTAGTTTCTCTCTCAGCTGCCAGGAAGTTTCCCGCCCATGGAAGCAAGACAGTAAACAAACATGCAGCGAGCGAAACACGTACAGGGATGTTCCTTGCAGGGGTGGCTGGGAATAACCAACACTGTGGGCCCCTAGGAAATTTATTACTAGGTTAGAAGAAATATGCCCACAAGGACAAGGTCCCAAGGGTGGGCTTCCAAGGGTGAGGTTCTCAAGGACAGCCTTGCTGTGCATGGTGATGGATGACTGTAATTCCAGCTACTTGGGGAGGTTGAGGCAGATAGACTATAAGTTCAAAGCTAGCCTGGGCAATTTAGTGAGACCCTATCTCAAAATAAAAAAGGGTAGGGATATAGCTCTGTGCTCCCTGTGTTTAATCCCCAGCAAAACACACACACACACACACACACTCACACCCATCTTTATGGCTATGGTCACTTCCAGTAGATCTAAGGGACATATTCATTCATCTTGTGAAAGTCTGTCTGCTCTAGGTTACAGGGACACAAACGTCAGGAGACAGATCTTATGGGGATACATAAGGCTTCAAGCATTCTGTAACACTACATGTGAGTGACTTTTTCTTTTTTAAAAATTATTTAACATTTAGCAAACAGCAGCGCAGACACCAAAGTCCAAGTGTGTTTACGTGGAATCCAAACATTTGCTCAGAGCCATGGTATCTGAAAGCAGAGTAATCTTCAAGAGACACAGAAACATACAAGAATTTTTTGCACTTATTCTTCGAGTGAAGAGTCAAGAACTCACCAAGAGTCCAGATGCAAATTCCATTTCCATTTTTCCTATTTCAAAATGCTGGCTCTAGCTCTTCTCGCTTTTGACAGTTCACTAATCTTTGTTTAATGAGATGAAGAACTTACTACCAAACATGGACATTTTACTTAAAAATTAGAATGTAACCCTGCAAAGAAGTTAGTCCCAATCTGAACTAGGGGAAATTCAATGATGGAATCCCTGCGGGCTACCACCTTCGACTAGAATCGCCACAGCGGCCATGGAAGCCACAACTGGTGCCTTTTGCTAAGACCTTAAAACTTACTGGGATGTAGCTGGCCTGGGAGTTCATGGTGCAGAGCTCTGTCAGGTTCCTGTGTCCACAAACATGTCCTGGGATCAAGATGCGGTCTCCCCTCTGCTGTAAGCCACATGAGCCATGCTCTGTGGGCGGAGCTTGGCAAGTCCCTCCACCTTGGTGTCGCCCTGCTCCCTGGGCTGTGGACATTCACAACCCTCTGAAATTGATTTCTGTGCTGAGTGATCTGTGTGGGCATAGGAGGTCATCCACCATCCGAGGAGGTTTGAAGGTGATAGAGAGTTTTCAGGGAGGTGACTGGAAAACCTGGGTTTTAATCTCCCTTTGGCCATTGTCTCCTTAATTCTTCCAAACAGCATTTATTGAAAACACAGGCACGCTCTGAGAACTCAGAGTCAGGCACCAGTCTGCTGGGCAGAAGTAGGAAGTCATCACATTGCTTCAGACAGATGCATGCAGGTGTATACAGACTCGATTTCATGTCCTTGCTATCCTATGCCCCTTCTGGCCATTTGGTTTCTGGACCTGCTGCACCTTTGTCCAGAATACTCCTTCCTACTTCCACATATATCTTTGATCTAGACGTCACTTCTTCCTGGATCTGCCTTGACTCCTCCCCCTTGAGGATTAGATTGGATTCTGTTTCCAGAGCATCTTACAGACACTCATCATAGGATACTGCATGTAGCTATGTCCCTCCCGAGACCATAAGCCCTTTACAGCAGCAGCTGTCTCCAGCTCGGTGTGCCATGTCCTGTCTCCCTGTTCGAAGCACAGCGAGTACCTGGCGCCCACTGAGGTTTCAGGGATCACAGTGTCAACAGAGTTGAATACAGACACCTCCAACTCACAACTATCTTCTGATCCCTCACCCTTACCCTTAAGGAAATCAAGACCAAAAAGATGTGTTGGTAAAATAATAAAACTGGGAAAACCAATGAGATGGGGATTAAGCTCTGCCTTATACAAGAGCACGCAGTGGGGAAACTGGTAACACCTATCACAAAAATGAATTCGCAGGATCATGCTCTTGGGTTGGGGTGTAGCTCAGTTGTGCAGTCCATGCCTATCATGGCAAAGCCCTGGAACAGATCTCTAGCACCACACTAATAAAAAAAAATGAAGTCACAATCGTTTTAACATGTGGTGTTTATGTTCTAACATGTTGATATATCAGAAAACACTCTTGTGTAGATTTAGAGTGACTCTGTTCAGTTCCAGGAAATCTACATGCTTCCTATAAGTCTAACCCCAACAACAGAGGTGTTTTAGGGACTTTGCTTACATAGTCTCATTTAATCTCCTTTGTCAAAACCCAGTAATTAGAAAAAAAAAGGAAAACACGGAGCCCTTCAGCTCATGTAAAGTTATTATGAGACCAGCACTTCTAACATCTACCACTGACACACAAAAGGCTTCCCGACAGGAAGGAAAGGAGGAGGAAGTGGAGGCTGGTAAGTGGTGCATCCTTGATGCCACCAATTTGCAATCTTCTATTTTCAAAAAAGATCATGGGAGAAGCAGGAGAAGAAGACCAGCTGAAGCTTCCTCCTGAAGAAACCTGCTAGAGAGATTCCACAGGACCTCTGGCCACAGCCTACAAAAGACTCAGGGCATTTCACAGCTGGAGAGCTCCTCCAGTCTCCATGGAATCTCCACTGACCACCAAACGTTACCATCTGTGTTCCTGGGGATCAAAGACGAAAGACAACTGTCTCAGCCCTCGCACACCCCTAGGCCAGTCCAAAGCTGTGCTGCAGCTCCTAAGGGAATGATCTACTCAAGGATCACTTGCAGCTCAGGTGTTCCTGACAAGGGCAGTTTCTGCACCTGGAAAGAGGGTGCTCCGGGGACCATCCCGCTTGCACTGGATTGATGTGAAATGTTCTCTGTTCTCATCATCAAGGAGAAACAGAGGCCTAGGAAGAAGGTATTTAACTACTAACAATGGTGGGCAAGGGAAGAGCTGCGGCCAGAACATATTCTTGACAACTGAATGAACAAGAAGCTTTTTTCCTTTTTCTTTTCCTTTTTCCTTTTTTTTTCAGTATTGAGTATTGAACCTAGGGCCTTCCCACTGAGCTACATCTCCAGGCCTTTTCAAATTTTTTGCTTATTTGTTTACTTAGAGAGAGGGCCATACTGGGCTCAAACTTTTGATCTTCCTGTCTCAGCCTCCCAGTGTGCTAGAATTACTTGAACGCACCACTGCGCCCAGCTTAGCGGAGGATTTTCTAGCTACTCCATGAACTGTTTTTTTTTTTTGGTATTGGGAATCAAACTCATGATCTCAGTCTTGCCTGGCAAGTGCTTATGCTGCTGAGCTACATCCCCGGCCCATCCACGAACTGTTACTAGGAGCTGCACTGTCAAATCCTGGAGCTGCTGGCCATCTGGCACCATTTAAGAAAACTAAACTTTTGGCCACTACAATTTTAGTTTCCTCTACAGGACCTTCATTTCAGGTGCATATCATGGCAGCCTTGGGCGAGGACGTCGCCACCACCACTCAAAGCTCAGGAGGAACAATGTGGTCTTGAGAATGCAAAGCCTCCATGACTGATCACAGCCAGACCAGCTTCTTGAAACAGCTGCTCCTCCCGGTGGTGGGAGCCACCTGTGGCAGATGGGGAGCAGCATGAGGGGGGCGAGAGAGTGATCAGGGGCCAAGAAGAGCCCTGAGCCTGCTCTCCACCTACCTCCGTGCAGCTCCCAGTGTCTTCAGCATGCCCGACCTGCCTCAGACCTTTGAGGCTCTGTGCTTAGTTTAGCTCATCCAAAAGGCGCCTGCACCAAAGCCTCTGGAAGGACTTGAAGGAAATCTCCAACCTCCACCTTGGCTGTGGGATGATTTCTCAGGCAGTTCATGCCAGCAGATTGCCAGGAGAGGATCTTAGGGACTGTGTAATGAGACCAAACAGTTTCTGGCCAACGGTGGCCATTGTGGTTGCCAAGAAACAACCACTAATGCTGACCAATTCCCCGTGGCCAGAGGCGGGGCATCTCATCCCCATTGGACAGAAGTGAGTCAGAACCAGTCTGGAGACACTTTGATTCCAGGAACGGGGCAGTAGTTTGCTTCAAAGTATGTGTCTGGATGTATTAAGATGATCAGAGAGCCCAGACTAAAGGATGACAAAAAAACCAAAAGGGAGAATAAAATCACATTCAGAAAAAGATCATTTGCCAATCAAAAAGCCCCTGTATTCTCCACCACTGTGGAAATATCATCAGTTACGATCTTTTCAAGTTGTTTTGGGGGAAGATAATTAAATTGACTAATTTCCTCTTATTTAAAACTCAGCTGAAAGATATATTTTCTTTCATCTACTTTAGCCAATTTCTATAAAAAACAAAATGGTTGCTTGCTCCAGTCAATACTTTTGTCTCAAATTCCCTCTCTCCCAGTGACTGGAAGAAGGGTAATTTCATGAATCAATAGGTCACATTTCTTAGATACCGAGAGCAAAAGATAACCAGATAGATATTTATCAAGCTAGGACAGGTATTCATTTGCTAGAAATGTCATTTGGGTGAAGGTGACTTTGTGTTTCTTGGTCCTCTCATCTACAAAATTGCTCCTCAGTATGGTTTATCCAAGACATGAAGCTAAACAAGGAGCAGGGGTCACAATGGGGAGCAGACCATGTAGAGCTGGACTCTGGGCTTCCCAGTTCAGCTGCAGTGGTCACTTTGTCACTTGTAGAAATCTGTCACTCAGATTTCTGAGTTTTTGTGCTCTCAGATTCATTGATTTGACTAATGCTGTGCACAAAATTCATGAGTAGCATCTCATGTATATCTCATGATATGCGTATGTGGTTGGTGCTATTCTTTCTTGCTTCTATTTTAGAGCTAAGGTACTTGAAGATCAGCAGTGCTGAGTGACTCACAGTCACGCTGCCATCAAGTGGAGCTGCTGGGACCAGGTCCCAGGTGTCCTAAACCCGAGTCAGACTTCAGACGACTAATGCCTGCCAGTCGGTGTTGAAAAGCTAGCAGAGTCATGCAGGCGATGAAGACCAAGATCAAAGTGCTGGAGAACAAACTTAAGCAGAGCTGGCCCTGTTTGCAAAGTAACACTTTCACAGGCAGTTTTGCTCCCTTGCTGGCCTGCTGGCTTCTGCCCCTCAGAGAGACCTTCTGCAGGACTTAGATAATCAAAGGTGCTGTGGCCACTCCACACTTGCAGGAAACTCTAAGGATGTCTGGTTATGAGGCTACAGTGAAAATAGACTTCTCGTATGCTGACAAATGAAACCAGCCCATTAATACATATTTACTGTGCCCCACTTGCTTTTCAATGTGACTTTGAACCTTGTCCACAACGTCATGAATGTGGGAACGCCAGGGCCCAGCTTTGGCCAACAGAATGAAGGTGAGAACTGATGATCCTTTTCAGAGGATGGACCTCAAGAGGTCTTGCACACTTTGACCCTTTGTCCTAGAGCTCACCACCACTGTAAAATCAGCCTGGACCAGCCTGTTAGAAGAAAGACCATGCAGAGAAAGCTGTCTTGTCACAGCTGAGCCATACCAGATAAATCAGTGTCCAGTCAACCCACCAGAGGATCACAGAGGCATGCACAGGCCCAGTTGAGTTCACCCAAGCCTGGTCACCTCAGCAGAACTGTCCCATCAATCTGTAGGTTTGTGAGAAGCAATATGTGGCTATTACTTGAAACCACTGATTTTTAGGGCTGGAGAGAAAGGAATGGTAAATCATAATTTGTTTCACCAAACTTATCAAGGCTGGAGAGTCCAGAAAAAGGCTATTTTCCATAAGCATCACTGTTACTTTCTATTTCTTAGGCAATGGCAGGTTTGAAGAAGCTCCAAACACTACTACTGTTGGAGGATTTGTGACTGAAATGGCTTAGATCTTAACTAAAGAAGCAACCACGTGGAGTCAGGTAACCTGGTTCGGAGATTGTGATTATTAATTGTCATGTCACCTGGACTTGGAAGAACCACCTAGATTAGTAAGCCTTGGGCGTCTCTGTGTATGACTGACACATAGGCTGCAAATTGAGCAGCACAGACCCACCCTGGATGAGGGTGACACCAACTGATAGGCTTATAGTTTGAGTAAGGTAAAAAGGGAAAGATGGAAGAAATCTTTTTTCTTTGGAGGAGCTCTGGTCTTCACCACTGCTCATGGACATTTGTCTCCAGTTTCTTCAGGCTCCAGGGCACTCTTAAACCTCCCAATGCGGACCCTGAGGCTTTCCAGCGTGGACTCACACTTGACTCTTCAGTGAGCTCCAGGCTTTCAACGGCATCCTCTAGCTCTTCAGTGACCAGATGGCCATTTTGCAATCTTCCATCCTGCTCATCTGGCTGGTAAATCCTTTATATAATCATGTATATAATTAAATGTTTCTCCAGTGAACCCTAACTGAGCCAGATTTGGGTACAAGAAGCAGAGTGTTTGCTGTGATACTGTCTGACCATGTTGTTCTGAAGCCTTCAAAACTGCACGATGGGAGGAGTCTGGGGAGATCTGGAGAAGCCAGCTGGAGAAGCAAGCCTAGAATGCTATGAACTGAGCTTGATGGGACATTCTGGTCAGAGTGCAGAATACCAAAATGCTGATGAGAAGGAAGATGTTAAAGACTGGGCTCAGGAGGTTTCAGTTGGAAACAAAGACTCTACTGGCAGTTGGGCTCAAGGCCATGTGTGTTATGCTCTGATAGAAAATTTGCCTGTAATTTGCTCATGTCCTGAGACTTTGTGGGAGACTTGAGATTAAGGATGATGGGCTAATTAATGTGGTGGAGGAAATTTCAAGGCAGCCCAAAATTGGGCTGTGGCATGGGTGTTGTTGATAGCTTTTAGCTAGCTCGATATAGAGAATCAAGAGCAAATGGTACAGCTGAGTAATATTAAAAGTTTTAAATTTCACCATAAAGGAAGCTCCTGTAAAGTCGGGGCTTGCAAAGTTAAAGCAGAAGAGAGCTTGGTTGCTGAAAAGACTGGTTTAGCATTAAAAAGAAGCCAAGTACTTTGTGTCAGGACAATAGGAAAGATGCCTTGAGGTCATCTGGGAAAACATTAAGATTGGGCACTTTGGCTTGCAAAAATAAAAACTTTGAGAAGACAGCTCCAAGGCACTCTGCGGAAGAAGAGCAGCCTAGGGAACTGATTCTCCAGGATTCAAGTCACTGCATGCAAGCATCCAGGTGCTCAGAGGCCTCTGCATCCATGATGCAAAAAGGCCCAGCTACTGCTTAAGTTTCAAGAAGATCTTGGCATCATCCACTTGGTGCAGGTTTTACAGGCATGCAGAATGCCAGACTTCTGACATCATTGAGGTTTCCAACCAGGATGCAGAAGAAGGCCTGGGAGACCAGGCAGTGAGTTCATGCGAGGGAAGAGTATGGAGTGGTGAGGGTGAAGTCAAAAGTGTAGCTCAGAATCCAGAAAGTTGGAGGTGCCTGGTAGGTGAAACATCTGAGGAAATCTGTGAGCAAAGCCAGCCCAAGAAGAGCCATGAGACCTACAACTACCAGCAATGTCATCAGAGCAGGTCTACCCAAGGTGCTCGGAGCTTATATCTTACCACATCTTGTTCCAAGTGATGGACAAAGAGCCAGAGGATTTAATGTTTGCCCTAGTTCATTTCGGCCTTGCTTTAGTCTCATTGGTTTCTATTCCCCCATTTCACCCTACTGGAATGGGAAAGTTTACCCTGTGCCATTGTATGTCGGCAGCTAAGAGTTTGCCTTAAGTCTCAGTGGAGACTTTGGACTTGGACTTTTTAGCCTTGCTGAAACTGGTAGGACTTTGGCAACTCTTAGAGAAGGACTAAATGCATTTTGCGTGAAGGGATATACATGAATCTTTTGGGAGCCAGGGGCAGAACATGATGGTTTATATCTAGATGTCCCTCCAAACTCTTACGCATTCAAAGAAGGGACTTGTGGAAAGTGACTCGATTATGTAGGTACTACAACTGGTGTGGTCTGGGGAGGTGGGCTGTGGTCAGGAGATACAGGTTGTTGAAGGCATGGTTTAATAGGGTGTATCTGCCTTCCCAGTTCCTCCCTTCACTCTCTCTGTTTCCTGGTCACCATAAGGTGAATAGCTTTTCCTCTGCCAGGCCCCTCTGCCATGCCACCCTGCCTTGGAGTCAGCTGACTATGGACTAAAATGTAAGTCAAATTAAACTTCTTCTTTAAGTTCGGGTGTTTGGGTGTTTGGGTGTTTTGTCCCAGTGATAAGAAAAGTGACAAGCAGATTTCTTGCCTGCCAGGTCCTACGTAGAGAAGTCATCTCCTTCTCTGGTACTTGCTAGTTGACTCCTAGCCAGATGAATTTAGTGAGGCAAAGTAATCCTGGCCCCCTACGAAGGTTAATGACTGAAATCCAGAGCCTCACTCCTGCATCACCCACAGAATGAGGGAGTCTCCAGGGTGAGAAACCTTTGGTAATAGAGCCCAGTTTCTTCCCTATAAGGTCTAAACAACTTGCTCTTTTACTATGGGTTGTCTCTGCTTTTCCTGAATGACTGCTGCCCCCTAAAGCATGTATGTGAAATAGGTTTCTGCACGGCTTGTCCCTGCCAGAAGACATTCTCCTTTGGTTCTAAAAGAGGGGAGGCAAATGAATCCAAGCATTAAATGGTTGAAACCACCCATGCATATATTCTCACTAAGTTGCCATGATTTGTTCTTCATAGCAGGGATCTTTGCCTGTGGAGCAAGAACTTGTCACGTTCAAGACAATTTATCCAAACCTAAGGAAAACACTGGTCCCACATACGTGAATGGGGAAAAAGAAGTCATCACAAACTATATACAAACATTAATGTGCAAAATTTCTTAATATGAAAATTAATTCTACAGTCTAAATAGCACCACTAAGAATAAAGTGCATTTTCAGAAAGAATGAATGCCTTTACTGCAACCAACCAAAGGTGGGGTTTGGGGAAATGTAGTAAACTGTGGAGGACTTGTGTGACATCAGTGTGACAGAGGAGACCTTTCTAGAGCCGCTAAACTTGTATGAGTTCTGTTCTTTGCCCGGCATGATCAAATCCTAGGTTTATAAGGAAACATACATAGAGAGTATCTACTCTAATTTGCCTGCTAATATCAGAAAGTTCATCTGTAGCAGCCCCAGTAAGCAAAAATTGAGCCTGTTTGAATATCTCTGAGGTCAGGGAACTCACTATTCCCAAGAGATCTTGTTCAGCTATTAGAAGACAAATGAGAAAGTTCTTTTGTTTTTCCCTAGTATGGAGCCAAAATCTGCTTTCCTATAATTTTTCAGTCCTGCTGTCTGTGGCCATAGAGAGAAGAAAATGCTAGCCCGACATATAGAGCTTGATTTCTACAAGGAGGATGATTCCCCATGAAACCATTTTCTAAGATATCCTTTTTTTTTTTTTCCCAGTACCAGGAATTGAACTCATGACCTTGCGCTTGCCAGGCAGGTGCTGTGCCGCTGAGCTAAATCCCCAGCCCTGATATCCTTTGATCTTAACCATGTAGGAAAATGGGTAAACTGAGGAAAAGGGACTCTTGTAGGCTTTGTGGGTCCCACCACAATGAGGTTCCATCTAATCAGAAAAAGTAAACTCACTCCCAGTTGTTAGCTGTTTGTGTAGGAGCAGTTATCATGACATGTAATGGTAATATTCACATATTTTTTACTATCTGTCTTTTCCACAGGGTTGTGAGTCCTATGAGAGCAGGGACCATTACCTGTTTCCTCACCTCTGTTTATTTAATGGCTGGCATGATGTGTGACATACGCAAGGCACCCAATCGATGGTGGTAGGTATGTGTAAGCACATGATGGGCTGAATTCTAAGTACATGAGTGTATAAAGAAGAAAACAAGGAAACATTTCTTCCATACAGTATAGTATGGCTTGGACTCATTTGCCTCTTAAAAATGAAGCCAAACCTAGCATAACGTTCTCAGAGCACAAATCAATGAGTGCCTTGGAAATCCTTTTCCTTAGAGCTAACTCTGATCCCCAGCTCCACTAGCTGGCTGCCCCCCAACATGAGCAAGGGGGGCACGGCCCTGTGAAGACCCAGATTAGCTCAGGCCTGCCGTCAGCTCCTCACCGCTCAAGGGAAAGTTTTTCCACCAGGCCACATGAATCCGATCACACCCACATTGTGGGTTTTCTCCAGTCTCCATTCATCCTCCCAAATTGAGGAAACAAATGTGGGGAGGCCCTGTGTGTAAGAGAACGTGGAGACAATCTGCAAGTCATTACCTCTCCACCAGCGTGAGGAGACACAATGCCAATGCAAAGCCTGGACAGCAGGGGGCAGCAGAAATTCACTTTTCTCGTGCCGAAGGTCTTATTTTGTCTTCCCAATTTTGCTTTCCCCAAAGAAGTTACTATAGGTCACTGATCTCCCGCTCCAGTTTTCATTTCAGAAAAAGGCTGCCATGCTTCCATCACAGCAAAGGTTAGAAGAGCATCTGATGTCAAGAAGCCTTCTTTACTTGTGTTCTCATGAGAGAAACAGGCCATCCACCGATAGGCACAGCAGTGGGTATCTGCATTCGCCACAAACTTCAGGGAACTTTGCCAGTCACGAGAATCAGCATAGCCGCTGCTAAGGAACCATGGCAGGAGCTCGCAGGACACTAAGAATGTGACTTGTGTCCACGGTGCCCTGGCACTGATTCTGTACAGCCTGGCCATTCATCTACAGGGCATGATATCAGCAGATGGCCTGTGTGTCACTCTTCGCGTGAAGTAATCACAGTGTGACCCTTAGGAGACACATACTCTCAGTGCGATCTCTCAGCTGACAACTTCACCGAAAGCTGGTTCCCCGCACATGGGTTATGTGTCCACGTTCTTCCAAAGCACACGTGCTGCCCCAGCCCTGAAGGCAAGTGACAGTGAGGGGTGAGCGCCCTATCCGCTAGGCTCACTTCAGCTGAAGATGCTGTGTCCTCAACACAGAGAAGCTGCCACGTGTGTTCACAGCAACTCATCATGGGGTTGTTGTCATCGTATGAACATCAAGTTTTATATGTTGTAAGCTCTCTCATTCTAACCAGCTTTCTGTCCTTGCGTTTTGCATTGTGAGTCCAGAGTTTATATGCACACGGAAAAGTTAATTTCATTCATTCCAAAATGCATTGACCTCTTCAATGTTGATGAGCACTGTCCTCTAACTTTGGAGAAGAAAAATATTTGTTTAAGGAGAACATTTAAATAAATGGCTAAGATAAACTCTGACTGTGGATGACACTTGGATAAAAATAGCTACTAGGGCATCCAGACATGTAAATTCTTTCCCCTCCCAATGATCCTTGCAGTTAAATTGAATTCATAGATGTGTGACACTCTCCACATAACAGATGGGAGAGAAACGCTGTGATTTATCACCTGAAAATCAGATGAACATCAACTAGTCATTTTCTATTCTTGACATAAGACTAATCAAATAGATATTTCATCTTCCCAAATGATTTATGCCTTCCATCCTTTTCTCAACTTGTTCTTCCTGTTATAAAAAGCCATGTTTATCGTACTTTGGGGCAAGAATATATAGCAGAAACAGAAGCTTATATGCTGGCACTGAAACACATCCATATTTAGAGAAAAGCAAACATGGCTATGTCCTTTTTGTCTGTGATCAAAAGGATGGCTCTAGCACTTAAAGCGATTAGTTTGACACATTGGAGGGATTTGTGTATGTCCTTGGGAAGGTCTTCAGAACTACACAGTAGACCAGGAAAACGGCTTGAAAAGACACAGACTATACCAAGTACCGTGTCTTTCCCCTTGATGTTGGGCATTCGTGTAATGCCAGGGGTCAAGGACAAAAGCCGGGGTGTACGGCACATCACCCGGGCTCTTCTCAGTGCAGCTTTCACGGTGCCCACCCTTCCTCCAGACATAGCAGTGTTCTCCTCCACAGAGATGCCAAACCCTCCAAGCTCTGAGGAGAGAAACAGCCAAGCGCAGAAGGAGAGGATCCTCCTTCCATGGTAGGGTGAGCTGCCTTCTCCCTCCACACACCCCCCTTGATGTCCCTCTGCTTCCATACCTCGAGCTCCCTTTGAATATCTCCAGACTAACTATGGGACCAGTATCTATTTCCTTATTTTCTATTAGCTCAGAGGGAGGTAGACAGCAATGAAAGTTTTAAAAACAAACTATGATAAGAATGGAAAGCTTTTCAAGGTAACAGTACAAAACCGAAACAAGACATGAAGCCACAGGCCACTATGAGTTGCTAGCTCTGAGAATGAATTTAAATATGGGTAAGACAAAATGCACATGTAAATTTCAATGGCTTCCCATTTATTGATCTGCTACACACCAAGCATTAGCCTGAGTGTCTTGCTACATCTCCATTCGCCGTAGCAAGGTATTACCAAGTACTGCACTTGTAAGAACAGAAAGGCAAGAGAAGGCAGTGTTCCCATTCCACAGTAACCAGACCTGCTAGGACAAGGGTTCTCAAACTTCAGAACCGTAACAGTTATGTGAGCGAAAATCTAAACTTCTTGGGTCTAAATCAGAAGTCTGCTTTAGAAGGACTCAGTTTCTAAAGCCTGGGGATTTGTGTTTGTAGCAACAGGCTCAAGAGATGGCGGTCCATGAATTATACCTTGATAAGCAATGATCTAGAATCTGGAATCTTCCAAGGCTTCTTCAGATCATGGGATTTGAGTTCTGTGC